CCCAGTGCCCCCCCTCCCCCCCCCCATGAACATGATAATGACTTTCCATTTCCATTACAGACCTCATTTTAATCCTGGTGATGTCATCACTGGGACTCTGTGCTTCTCTATGCATTGCATGCTGGTGGCAGGAGGCGGCAGCGTGCTGTACATAGCTTCCTGAAAACATCACAGCACCCTGCCTCAGTACTTACCTCAGCCCTCATATAAGCAGTGGGCTGGCTCTTGGGCGGAGTTATGCAAATATCACATCACCTTGATGGGCGGGTGTCAGTCTGGAGCAGTGGGCGTTCCTAGGCAGGATGTATTTACTAGGGATGCACCGATACCACATTTTTAAGACCGAGTACGAGTACCGATACTTTTGATCAAGTACTCGCAGATACCAATTACCGATACTTTTTCTTAAAGGGACAGGTCACATTTTTTCTAAAGCAATACAAACTAATGCTTTAAGGTCAGTTTCTTAATATTCTGATTCATGAGATGACGAGGAAGCATGAGGCCGGCTTCCGAGCCAATCAGAATGCCGGGTACTGCGTCATTACATGGCGCCCGGCTTCCGGATTTGCTAGCTTCCTGACCAATCGGGAAGCCGGGCAGCGCGTCATTGCACGCTACCCGGCTTCCTGATTGGCCGGGAAGTCGGCTCCATGCTCTCTCATCACAAGTGACGAGAGAGCATGGAGCCGTTTCCTGGCCAATCAGGAAACCGGGCAGCATGTAATGATGCGCTGCCCGGCTTCCTGATACAGGAAGTACTCGTGCTAGGTATCGGAGCATTTGGGCGAGTACGAGTACTCACCCAAATACTCGGTATCGGCACCGATACTAGTATCGGTATCGGTGCATCCCTAGTATTTACATAGAGACCGCCCTAGGTAATGCCCACATGTGACCCTGAGCCTCCATGATTGACAGAACTGAAATCCAATGAATGAAAGGTGCGAGGACAGGGGTAGTCAGGCCAGGGAGGAAAGGAATGCTGCGGAGATGAAGAGAAGGAGGGGATTCAATAGTTTAAAAAACACACAACAGGCAGGGCTGACACCACTCAGCCCACAAATTGCAGTGAGCGTTCCTAGGCAGGCTGAATCTCCATAGAGACCGCCCCAGGTAACGCCCACATGTGACGCTGAGCCTCTGTGATTGACAGAACTGAAATCCAATCAATGACATTTGCATCAATTTAAAAAAATGTTAAAATGCCACTTTTTTTTTACACGTAACTTTATTGCTATCACACAGGGGACTGACAAGCCCACTACATGACAGCACAGACACAGTGACAGGTCCTTTTTATGGAGACATTAGTGGTCTATCAGACCCCTTATGTCACCCATTGACCCCAAAGAAGCTGATGACGCAGAGATTGTACTCCACCAGCCTCTTGTCTGGCCACAGCAGCCGGAGACATGACACCGGAGGTGATATAACGCACATCGCTTCCACCTTCAGAGATCGCAGGGGAGATCTGATCAATGTACGCAGAGCCGCCGGGCCCTCGGTGTGAATGGGGCCCCATTCTTCCATATGAGGACACGGCACACGTGGTCAGTCCACATTAGGTGTGAAGGACACTTTGTAGCTCTTCTATGATCTCTTTCCTGCACATGTATCCACACATAGGAAGTCAGACCAGTCACATGACCCTCTCTATAGAGAACCTGACACTTTGTATCTCTTCTACGATCTCTTTCCTGCACATGTATCCACACAGGATATCAGAACAGTCACATGACCTGCTCTAAAGAGAACCTGACACTTTGTATCTCTTCTATAATCTCTTTCCTGCACATGTATCCACACACAGGAAGTCATACCAGTCACATGACCCTCTCTAAAGAGAACCTGACATTTTGTATCTCTTCTATGATCTCTTTCCTGCACATGTATCCACACACAGGAAGTCAGACCAGTCACATGACCTGCTCTAAAGAGAACCTGACACTTTGTATCTCTTCTATGATCTCTTTCCTGCACATGTATCCACACACAGGAAGTCAGACCAGTCACATGACCCTCTCTAAAGAGTAGGTTTGCTATCTGTCCAGGAAAGTCCGGGGTTTGAATTAGGGTTGCCACCTTTCCTTCCATCGAAAGCCCGAACACTCTAGCATAGAAATTTTTGGGGGAGAATGAGTCGCGGCTTATTCATATGCAAATAGCTCCACCCATTCATATGTAAATATCACAGTCAAGACTATTTTCAGTGGGAGGTCAGTAGCCCCGATATTAATGGTTGCCCCTGTCTGTCTGGCATCTTGTGACCGGTTTTCAGCTGCCATGAAATCCGGACACATCATTTAAAACCCGGACTGTCCGGGTGAATCCTGGACAGGTGGCCACCCTAGTTTGAATGCTGTATCCGGGTTTCATGGCAGCAGAAACCGGGACACAAGATGTCAGGCAGACGGGGGCAACCACAATTAAGATAGGGGCTTCTGGTCCCCCCACTGAAAATAGTCTCTACTGTGATATTTACATATGAATAAGCAGAGACTCATTCTCTCCAGAAATTTCCATGAGTCGCAAGAGTGTTTGGGTTTCGCTGAAAGAAAAGGTGGCAACCCTACTAGAGAGAACCTGTCCTTTCCTCATGTACTCCCCGCCTATGATCCTCCCCCCTGATCGCTCTGTGGGGGATGAATCGGCGTGTCAGCGTTTTGTATCATCAGATCAGATCAGAGTGTTTGTTGGAGCTTAGCGTGCCGCCCCACACTGACAACCACACGCGGTGACCCCGGGCCTGCGGTTGGACTTTGCACCTCGCAGTGATTAAGTGACAATACAGTTCTCCTTGTGAGTCATTGCGCAACACGCTTGTCTGCTGATCCTGGTCATGTGACTGGCGAGAAGGAACACGGAACAGAGAGTCTCACTTCTTCATACCAGTGAAAATAAAACAAAACCCACGTCCGGCAAATGTGTGCATATCGCACTCCGACTCAAACCTCATCATTCAAAGCTTGGCGGTGTCATCACTAATCTGGCTTCATATGAGCTGACACACACCAGCTGAAAGCTAAAGTCAGGCTTGCATTATCTGTAAGGAGAAGGGTGGGCAGGAATGTTGGCTTACAGTAGCTGGGAGGGCATTAGGGGGGGGGGGGGGCATCTTTAATATTATTT